AAAAAAAAAAAAAAAAGATGAGATGGAGTTTCTTTTTAGAGGGCAAATGGGAAGCACAAGACTCCTTTGTTGGCGCTTCAGTGTGAATTGTTGATATTTGCAGTGGACCACGGTTGTACTGATGACGGTGCGTCTCCTGATTCCGGCACAGATGTGAGGAAATGCTTGAGGTCAAGAGCGCAAGACGACACAAGTTCCTGCAATAGAGATGCTATTGAGCGCATTGAAGACTCATTTACCGGTAGTCGGTCTTATCAGACAAGCTTCATAAACTAGAAAGTTGATCACAAAAGTTTGCATTATGTTGTACAGGAAACTGTATCATAGTACTGTATCATATTGAGTGCTTTTTAACGCGACCACATGAAGAGCAATGAGGCACAGAGAATCAATGACATCAGCTGAGCCTGCTTCAGACAGTGTACGCAATACTCATCATTTAAGTCAAATGGTGCTTCATCAGCTCGTCGCGGACTTGGACTGAATGTAATACTTGACACCACAAGTAAGCAAATGTCCATCTGTGTTCATGCTGCTTAACAATCCCATACTTGGTGGGACTTAAGTGATTCCAGCTGAGATAAATGATCACGTACTCTTATGTGGTTGCCGTCTCGCCATCTTCCCCTTGTGTCTTGCTTTCATATCATGAAAATGGAGGATGATATGTCTTTCGTCTTGTAATAGCACAATGGGGTATGCTCGACGGAACCACATCATTATCTTGTGAATGTTATTGCTGTCTCAGGGGCTGAAGACTTGAGTCTGTACAGATGTGACGGTAGAAGTGTTGGGAATATACCTCACTTCCTAGCTCCAGCAAGCATAATAGCACAAGTGTGAGAGGCATTGTTTGATCACGTTGAGTTTGCAGAATTTCCCCAAAACTGGACTATTTGATTTCCATGAAACTTATGTGGACGAGTGGCAACGTTTCTAAAATTAGCATGTTAGCTTGGACTTCGGCAAGCGCTCCAGGTTTGTGTGGCCCTTTTGCAAAATTAAGTGCCCACCTTTGACCGAGATCAGTGGATCTTAACCTGTGTTCGATTAAACCCCAGGGGTTCGACGGAGCCTCTGCCATTGAGGGTAAGACACACGCGGATCAACAAGTTAATTAGTTATGACACGCCCGTTTGGCCATCATTGGCTGCAGATGATCACATGACATTGCTTGTCCAATCAGTGCTCTGGGAAATTGAGTTCGCTTTGTTGTCAGCGTGTGACTGTAGTGATAGTACGTCGTACAATAAAAAAAAAAAAGTATACTTATCTCTTGAGATTTTATTTCCTTTTTCTGTTTATAATAAATGCGTTTTTTTATATCTTGAATTTGTAAATTTTATTTATTTATTTGTTTATATATTTATTTATTTATTTATTTTTCACTCATGAAGAGTTTGGTGAATGTGCATATTAACTGGTTGGGTTCGGTACCTCTAAAAGGGTTCAGAACCACTGATCTAAATGCTTAAAATTTCCAAATATCAGGTATTTTCATTAACTGCATCTCATTTGCATGACATCTTTCCTTGGACGTCGGTGTCATCAAGTCCATCCATCATATTGGAAGTACATAGTTTCTCTTTTTACTGTCTATTTGTCCATGAAAGTGCTTCAAGTTTCATACTCTCAATTTGATCATCTTGACAGACAGCGATGAAGATGCTCATTTACAGCTGACCCCTCAAATGTTGGCACTGAACTGTTTCCACTTCTGGCTTCGTTAAAAAAAATAATAAACTTCTTCTGGCAGACTAGTGTGAGCTTGTTTGGGCTGAATGCAACATGGTTCAAATTACGACCTGAAATGACTTCTGTCACTTAGCAGGCCTTGGTGCTGTTCCATCTGTTGCTGAAAGTAAAGACACCAGAGATGTTCAAAAAGAGGATCCAACGCAAAAAGAGGTAAAAGCTCATCACCAGAATGACGGTATTATTTATTTATTTATTTATTTGTATATATGTCATAGTAATGGGTGATTTTCACACTGCTAGAATGAGGAGACCAAATGGGGACTGCTTTTGAGCAAATGTGAAGGAAAAAGCAAGGAAAAAACAGGTCAGTAAGTTTACAAACCTGAGGCATTATTTCTTCTGTTCTTTTGAATACGTACATTTTCTTTCTTTGCTTCTTTGACAGACCTGATGGAGGAACTTGGTTTGGGAGATTTTGACTATGCTGAAGGTCAGAATGAGTTCTTATCAAGACTGCATCAAAATTGTTCAGCTTAAGTTGTAGTGGATGGCTCCATTTTTTTTTTCACCTCTTACAGATGCATCAGACTGGGATACATCAAGCAATATCAGTAAGAAAAGCCTGCCTGGAGGCACAGAGACTCCCCCGACACCCGAAGAATTGCCACAATCCTCCATTAAGGAGAAGGAGCCCGATGAGTCGCCAAAAGCACCCATCGCTCCTCCGAGGAGGATCGGCGCAGACGAGAAACAGGTCGCCGTTCCTCATCCCCAGCCTCGTTCCAAGAAGGCGGTGCCTCAAGAGAGTGACAGTAAATCACTTTGCACTTTTCTTCTTATTTCTTTAAACTTGCCATTCAAGTCACATTTCAACCATCTTGTTTCTTTTGCATGTTCTACTTCAGATTTGGATTGGGGCCAAGACATTTCGGCTTCATCATGCACGGCGGCCAATCAGCAGCTTCGGGATGCGGCCAGAGAAGGTAAAAAGTCCCACACCCCATTTCTTAGTAGTCCTACTTGTGCACATGTTCTCTGTGTAAAGACTCTGCCTGTCCTTCGGCTACTCTGAAGTCTCAACAGAGGCAGAAGACAAAAGAAGCCATTTGCAACATGACAAGCAGCAAGAAGAGGTGAGAAATCGCCCGCTGATGACATCAGCAGCACGCAATGCTTATTTCATTCGTCACCACACCACACATTCGTCTACACTCATGGGGAGAATTTTTTAGGCAGGAAGATGGGGGGCCTTCAACATGGTTTGGCTTTTAATTTCTTGACAGAATTCAGAAATGTAAATCTGCACCCGGCTTTTCTCTCCAAATCGTGTAAATGGTTGTTCATGTCATTATGAGAGGGACTTGTGTATCGGGACACTTGGTGATGAGATCTGTGGAACGTTTGTCGGTGTGCCCTCTGGAATTATAACATCTTGCATTCAATTTTGGCAAATCACACATCCGATCAGTTAACATACTCTGTTGGCAATAATTTTGCTGAACTCACATGATGAAAATGTCATCCGTTGTTTGGAAAGATAATTGTGAAATGCCTTGTTTTGTTTTTTGGGTCTTGTTTTGTGCCCCCCTTCCCCCCCAAAAAAAGGAAAAAGATCATGCATTCAAGTCATGTGACTTGGATTCAAGTCACCCACACGCGTCTGACCTGACGGGCTTTGTTGAGGGAGGCCATAACGTGGTTAGAGATCAACAAAGTTCACAGGAAAGACCCCATGATGATGTTCTACCGCTGACCCGCTATGAGAAGCTTTGGGAAGAAGTGGAGATGAAAGAAGCAAAATCCACCTTTGGATTTGAAGAGCAGTTCAAAGCAGAAAGTTTCGCTGATGAAATGCAGGTGAACGCATCCTCTGCTGAAGAACAGTCAAGCGACGAAGAGAAAGGAGATGCCATTTTATGCCTCGCTGCTCGCGCCAGGAAACTGGTCCTACTTTCTGTCCCGGAACAGAGGGCGTCTGCTTCGGACGATTCTGCGTCGGATTCTGCTGACTCCTTCGAGACCGAGGAGAAGATACCGGACAGCCGCTTCCCTGCTCATGAGAGCATCATGGTTGAAGAAGCAGAAGAAGCCCTCCATCGTGAGGCACCACAAGCTGACAAGGCAAAGGAGGAGAGCAGGGTAGACTCCGCTGGCCGCAGTAAACCTGGGCTTCGTCACAAACATCAACTAGACGAACCTGAAAAGTACCACAGCAACTCGAAGAAGAACCCGCCAGAACTTGCTAGTTCTCAGCTCATGAGGCTAAACAGACAGTCTGCTTCTTTCCCTGTTGTTGCCCTTCAAGACTTTCAAGAGGACGTGAAGTTGAACCAGGAAGTCGAGAAAGAGGTAGAAGATGGACCGCCCGGCTCCTTTAGTTCCTTTCAATGTTTGCTGTCCTCTCTCATCGTATTTTTTTATGAGGGGGAAAAAAAAAAATTCTGATTGGCTCCAAATTTGTCAAACAGCATGAACTTTTATTTGACTCTTTCGTTGTGTTATTTAACCTATCAAAGTTTCTTTAACTATCCACCCTCATTTCTCCTTTATCTTCATCCCACAGAACATTTTTATGCACCATCGATTTTATTTTCCTTTATTTATTTATTGTATATATTCTCTGGTGATTTGGACCTACAGTGGATTTAAAAAGTCGACTTTGACAAGTGCCATTTTTCTTCCATTAACTCCGTTTGATGCCATTTTCAGTTTTGTTTCCATCTCATGTTCAAATGAGTGTACGCTTTGAGTTGTTGTTTGTCTTTCCACAATGTTGTTAGCGGTAGACTATTGCATCCTGCATGGGCTTTGCATGTGTTGTAGTCATTAATTTACTGAAATAATATTTCCAGGTGCGTTTATTTGTCAAGTGCAAGTTCCCGCTTTTAGCTCTCCAAAGAAATTCCAAACGATGAATGACCGTGTACGCAAGACATGTAAAACAAAATACGAGGCCCAACCTTTTTTTGCCATTGCTGTGGTCTTTTCAGGCTGTCAAAGAGACTCCCGAGGCTGCGGTTTCAGTGAAAAATCCGAGTGACTTCAGTGGCACAGGTGGGAACGCCTTTGACGGGTTTGCCATCGAGAAGCCCGAGGTTGGCTCAGTGAACCGCAAAGAGACGTCGAGCCAGGCTGAAGACCCCCAACAAACATGGAAGCCTCTATCCTGTGACAGGTACAGTATGTGCTTTCATTTGTGTGTGAACATATTGTACAAATAGAACCCATTAAATGTTGTTGGAGATCCAAATAAAGGATGTAGAAACATTATGGTTTGTCATGTTTCTTCAGATTAAACCCTTTTCCTGTTTTAAAATTGGAATTTGTCTTTTCGAGTTTCACTCGATATATCCTTTAGGTGGAGTTATTATTTAGTGCCACTGTTATCCATTTTACAGGCTCCTGTCTGTGTTTTTGTTTTTTTTTCTCCATATCACGAGCAGCGCACCGGTGGAATCCCAACTCTCACATCAGCGGACCTCCGGCGTCGGCAAACCCAAAGAACAAGCTGTAGAGAAGGTCCACGCATCCAGAAGCCCTCAGACTGACAACAGAGAGCTCTCATTGTTTGACGACAGCACTTTAAGTGACGTGTCGGATGATGAAGCAAGGTGTGTATTGTGCCTCATGACACACATTTTATTTGAAAATTGTTCATTTATTACCACAGCAAGTCGTTTTTTTTTCCTCTGTTGGCAACAGGCATAAAACTAGAGAGCCGAGAAAAAAACAGGTAATTTAATTTTTGTGCCTTTTTTTTTTAAGACTGAAGTTCAATTCTGTATGTAGATTCCGACGACATTTTTGCATTTATTAAGCAGTCAGAAGAAATTGAGATGTCTGAAGATATTGACGAGCTCAATTCGTCATCCGACGTGACCACAGATGATTCTGACTTTCGCTCTTCAGGCCATCGTTGTAGCTCTCTCTTCATTCAGAACCTGGATTCACTTGTGACAGGTGCGGTTTGTTTATTCAAACAACTGAACTAAACAGATCTCCAGATACACAAAAAAAGCAGATCACTTCAGCATCACGGCTGTCTCATCCATCACAAATTCCCCGTCATCTAAGTAGCTATTCTTTATTTCTCAGACTCCAGGAGCATGGTCAAGCTGCAGAACATTTTCCACAAATATGAGCGCTCCATTCAGAAGGCCAAAAGCCGTCACAGCTTCTTTGCCGACAAAGTGATCCTCCTGGAAACGGAGAAGGCGCAGCTACGGCACTCTCTGGATGAGGTGAAAGATGTCAAGTCGGCCTTGGAGCGCACTCAGCTGGACTTACAAACGGAAGTCACCAACCTCAGGTGAGAACTGCTTTATTCTCTTTGTATTCTTTTTTTTTTCATAATCTTTGTTGTCTCGCGGTTGCGGTGCAGATTTCAGCTAAAACAGGAGCAAGAAAACGGACGTAACGCCACCATGATGTACAACACCACCGGAGATAAGCTGAGGAGGACAGAGGAGCAGCGGCAGGTCGAGGTTCAGGAGAGGCAGAAAGTGGAGCTGGCTCTTCGGAACTTGGAGCTGGAGATGCGAATACTTGTAAACAACAAGAAGCAGGTACGACGCGTGCGGTTGTCCCCATCAGATGCTGCGAGTCGGCGTCTCATGAGACTGCTGGAGGCCATTCCGTAGATGACGTTTTTTTTACTATTTATTTATTTTTTGTATTTATTCTTTATCGCTCCAGCTGGAGGAGGACAACAATCAGACCCAAACGCTGTTGGCTCAGGAGCGCAGCGCTCGCATGGTGCTGGAGAATCTGCTCAGCAGTCATGTGCGCAAGCAACAAGAGATCGAGGAGGAGAACAAAAGGAACATCAGCAAAAGTCACCAGGTACAGCAGCGGTAGTTTTGACACCCTTGCGAGCCATTGTTGCGATATTACAGAACAAGAATCAGTGAGGATGGTGGTGGACATGTTTCACGAATCTAATTTAAGCCAGTTGGACAAAAAATTGCTTTTTAAAATAAGTTTACAAGTTTAACATTTCATCCGTTTTTTTAAGTACTTTGAAAAGAAATAAAGAGAAAAATCTTACAATATACATGGAAATATATTTTAAGGCTTCATAATATTATGTAGCGGGCCAACAAATTTCATATGTACCCCTTTTTTCCTTTTTTGGGGTAAAAAGTCTATTTAAATTCTTGTAAATCTGTGGGCATAAGATGGCGTTGTGCGACTAAAGTATTTGCGTCCATGCATTTTTCAACATTCATAGGCCTTGTCACAGCTCACGGAGGCCAGCGACAGGGAGCGGGAGCTGCTCCAGCAGATTTCGATATTTCACGAGCAGCTGAGCACCCTCAGAACTGACCTGGAGAATTCCCAGGCCAGCAGCAGCATCAAGCAGAGAGACCTCCAGGAGGAGAATAAAGCCCTCAAGGAACAACTGGAAGAGACCAGGCAAGCTCTCAAAGCCAACGGGGACACCATGAACCAAACCGCCTTGGAATTCAACAACCAGACGGCCATCATGAAGTCCGAGTTGACCGTCACCGCGACTCGCCTGGAGAACGAGCGTCAGACCCGAGAGACCCAGGCGGCGGAGTTGGAGTCGGTCCGCGCTCGCCTGACCGCGGCGCTGCAGGAGGCCGAGCGCTCCATGGCGGCCCGGTCGGACGCAGAGAAAGCTCTGCTCCAGGAGAAGGAGGAACACCGTCGTCTTAAAGACAGACTCTCGAGTAAGTAGCGCAAATGCTGTCATGACAAAAACTCTGTACAAGTTCAGGTTTCCACCTCAAAGAAGATTGAAATGACAAATAATGGGGATGATTATTGATCAATGCAGAAAATACAAAAGAAAATAAGTCCATAAAGAAAAACAATGTTACACACTTTTGACTGGTATTATTTGATAACCGTTAGCTTGTGATTCCAGCCAAATATGCCAATATGTCAGTTCATCACGAGGCAAAAGACGCCCTAGGCCTCTACTTGACTCGCCAACATCACACACCACCAGGCCCCGCCTCTTAAAGGCATAGGCATATAGACACTACAATTCGTATTCCTTTCTATACATTTTGTGCGTGTCTCTTTTTCCCCAAATACATTCACATTTACAGTGCGTTCAAGTACGTAGTGTGTTTTAATAAATGTTTTTATAATGTGTGGGAGGTATAATGTGTTTATTTTTTTTACCCCTGCCACACACCTACTTGTGTTCTACTGAACTTGTGTCCTAAATTAATTTTATCCTAGTAGACTTATGTCCTGGTGGACAAGTGTCTTTCTTTACTTGTCCAAATGGACTTGCGTCCTTATCTAATTGTGTCAGAATGTATTTGCAGCCGAGTGTACCAGTATCCTCGTCCACCTGTTTCCCAGTCTGCTTGCACCCTCGTGGACTTTTGCCCCTGGATACTTGTTTCCTAGTAGTTTACTTACATCCTATTGGACACAACATTGCAGAGTGTGACCTATTGCGGGTCGTGGAACAACACTGACTCAGACTTATCTGTACAGGTGAGGCATCCAGTCAGCACGAAGCAGTAAGCAGCCTTTCCCAGAAGTTGTCCAAGGCAGAGGCGCACGCCAACGGCATGGAGAACGAGGCCCATCGGGTCATGCTGCAGCTGACTGAGAAAAACCTCCTGCTGAACACCGTGCAGCGCGAGAGCGACCAGATAGCCACGCGCGTTAAAGAGCTTGAGGCCGCTCTGCAGGCCGAGAAGGAGCTGGTCACTCGGGCCGCAGCGCGCCAAGAGGCTACACAGGAGCGCCTAGCCCAAGTGCAGAGTGAAGCCATGTTGCTGCGGCAACAGCTGGAAGAGGCTCAAAACAAAGGTGTTGCAAAGGAGAATGCCGTGACAAACGCCCAAAAGTCTTTCAGTGACATTTTGTCCAAGCTTCGCGCCGACTGCGAGGACAGAGTACAACTTGTGCAGGACCGGAATCAAGACCTGGCCGCAAAAGCTGCTGAACTACGAGAACAAATCCACCAATTACAGGAAGAGAAAAATGAGAGAGAGGTGAAAGCACAAGCTGAAACTTTTCACCCTCATGACCACATTAAAGTGATTCTTGTTTTTGTTTTGTTTTTTTCCTGGCACAGGCAAGTCAGAGGCAGCTGCAGCAGGAGTTAGCAGACTCATTAAAGAAGCTGTCGATGTGTGAAGCCTCTTTGGAGATCAACACCCGCTATCGTAATGATTTGGAGGAAGAGAAGACTCGGCTCATTAACGACATGGACAGTCTTAAAGAGAAGGTCATGACAGGGAACAGCGCCGACTGACTTTTCCCTCATTGCCTCATTTGTGGTGCTGATGAGAAGTGAAAACACACACTCTTTTTTTTTTTTTTTTTTTTTTTTTTAAACATTGCTGATCTTTTCTGTCACGCAGATGATTGAGCGAGAATCCCAGTGCCTTCAAGGTGAGAAACATGCGAACGATCTAAGATGTCGTCTGGACGAACGAGAGAAAGAATTCAGCGCCGCCACTCAGAAACAGCAGGAGGCGCTGTCTGCTGCCGCTGCCTCCAATGTCGTTGTCAAACAGCTGGAAGAGACTGTGCAAAGGTAAATGGTGACAGTGTGTTCTCCTGTGCACTGACGCAACAGAGAGCACAGTTTTCAGTCGGGAATCAATTCTACACACTCATTTTATTATTATTTTTTTTTTTTGGCGCATAGGCTGGAGATTGAGAACGTCAAGCTCGAGGCTGCTGCGAAGCAACAGGCAAACAAAATTGAAGCACTTCAGAAAGGTTCTCAGGAGGAGGCAAGGGTGAGTGCAACTCATTTGCAATCACAATTTTATAATACACGATGGCATTACTTGTACTCTCCTGATTTACATATTTAAGCGCATGTATTTTGTTCCCAGCTATCTGACAGTGCAAATGGACAAATGGTTGGTGTTTTAGATTTTGATTTAGTTTGTCTCTGACTTTTGCCAAATGAAATTCAGGGCTGATTCTCTGGTGCCTTTGAATAAATTCAGCTCACACCATGCAAACAATCATTCAACGTGGCAACCGTTCGCCGGTGGAGGTTTTTATTGCTGACCGCACTGATTCTTTTCCTTTCGAGTCCTTAACTTCATCTTTTTGAGTTGCATGGTGCATGTTCTAATCTATCCGGACTCCTCAGTAGCTCTTTAAATATTCAAATCAGCCATTTGCTTCTTTATCTTCAATAAACAAAACACTTTAGGCTCCATCATATGAAACTGTAACGTTTGTTCTTGCCTCTGTAGGTCAGAGATCGTTTGGAAGATTTGGTGACCAACCTACAAAGTAGTAAGATGACTTTAGAGGACCAACTCAGTAAAGAGGTGAGCGCTATATTTACTTTAGCTATTTTATTAAGAATTGCATTCGATAAAAGTCCCCACACTCTGGAAAGTACTTCAATAAAAGTACAGATACTTGTTTAACGCGACATGTAACATGTTGTAGTCTCTCACTAACCTAAGGTAATAGACTAGTAAAGTCAGAATTATTGTCACTGTTTGAATTTTAAAAAACAGTTTTAAATGCGTTGTAGAAACCGATTTAATGCAGTGTATATATTTTTTCCACACAAATGTCTAGCTTATATATATTTTCTTTCAATGTGTTCAGGTGCAGAAGCAAAGCATGTTGTCGAACAGCGCCCACGACTCGCAGGCCATGTGGGAGGAGGAGCTCAAGAGCCGCTCCAAGTTAGGACTTCGTCTAGCAGAGCTCGAAAAGGAAAAAGGAGAACTCAGCAGCCAGGTGAGTGTCATTATGACTTGAACCACTGTAACAGTGTAACAGCAAACACTCCTGTAGCCTTCATATTCCCCTCACCCCCCTTTGTTGATGGCTTTTGTGGTGTGTGTGTTAAGGTGGAAACAGAGAAGAAGAAAGCCAAGAAAATAGCAGAGCAGAAGAAGGCTGTCGATTGTCGATTGGAACAAGAGATGGAGAGAAACACAGGGCTTCAAAAGGAAATAAACAGGTGAGTCCTGAGCACAGCCTTTCATTTGTCTCACCTGGACCGACATGGCCTCCCATTTAGTATTTGCAAACAGCACCCCAATAGGAGAGCAAGCATCTCGAAGCATAGAACAGTCCCAATTTTGACAAAATTAGAACTTTTTTCTTTCATAGATGCAGTGGCATTCAAAAGACACTTGACCTTTGAACCTGATTGTTGAGTCCGACAAGTTTTTAGCCTCAATTTGTTTTGTAAACATTCCATTGTAATTCACACTAATGTGTTTTTTCTTTCCCCAAATTAATTTAAGGCTACGGACTGTATGTAAAATGGCAAAGAGGACGGTGGAGAAAATGCGCGGTGGCGGCGCAGGTGACTTTGCTTCTCCGCTGAGCAGTCTAAAGGTGGACCTGGGAAGACCCAGCCGGGCCGATGGAGCTTTTGATGGAAGAAGAGAAAAGGTTTGTCCATCTGATGCATCGCTGTCATTTTAACCTACGTCACCCACACAGTATTTGAGCGGTTTTATAAAGCCCTTCTGGTCTCCTACAGGGAGAGCTGGAGAGGGGAGCGTTCCAAGGCAGCCTGTCGGACAGGAGGCTGCTGGAGGAGGAGGTGCTGAGCCTCAAACGCAGAGTGGAGGCCTCCGAGGTCGAGCAGAGACAGATGGAGCAGTATCGGCGAGAGGTGGAGGAGAAGGCCCGGCAGGAAATACATCATAAACTACAGGAAGTCAACCTTTTCCTGCAGGTGGAGTATAAAATAACGAGTCGGCTGACTTATGTGATGGATTGTATATTGATTGTTAATTCCTCCCTCACCCCAGTCTCAAGCGGCAACCCAGGAGGCACAGGACCAGATCCAAGCGGCCAACGAGGCCAGCCTGCGCTTGAAGATCCAAGAACTGGAGAGCGAACTGAACCGAGCCCGAGCCTTCCAACACGACACCCTCAGCCAAAGAGAGTCCGCACACACGGAGCTGGAGCGCTTCAAAGAACTCTACCGAGAGGAGCAGAAGCTGCGCAAATCTCTCTCCGCCGATCTGAAATGGTCTGATTGTGGCTGCTTTAAAAAAAAAAAAAAAAAAAAACATTCGGCTCCAAGTCACCTCGTCAACTATTTGTTGTTTTCTGTGTACAGGACTAACCATCAGCTCACGGAAGCCAGTTCCAGGTTGGTCAGCGAGCGAGGCGGGTCTCTCCTCACCCCCCCTGGACCGCCGTCATCTGGGCTTGTGGTCCCTCTGGGCGGCCCATCCAGGAGCCTTGCCCCTCGGCTACTTGGCCCCGTGGCGGAAGGACAAAGCAGTAGTGTGGAGGACTACCTGATCATGGTAAGTCACAATAATACGCCGCACAGCGGTGCCTTGATTTGTAGTACGAGTGTCCCAGTTTATGAGTTTTGAAGTTCCAAAGCCAAGGTGATATCACCTTAGCGACGTCCTATCAACGTAAGATGCCATCATGCCTCTCCTGACGTGTCTTCTCTAAGTCCGTACTACGTGGAAAGCTGCAAGGTGGATGATCCATTTCAATATAAAATTGTCACCTCGAACATTCGACTTGCTTCAACCTTTGTGGTTTCTCCTTCAAGGACACTTCTTTTCCTCCGCCTTCATGCGTGCTGCTTATTAGGTTGCCGGCGTCCTTTCAGCGAGACCAAAATGAGTCGAGGTTTCATGAAAATCAAATTGCAAATTGTTGTTTCCTTCAGATGCAGCGTCAGTTGGACAGAAGCATATCAAGGGAACTCAACAAAGGTGCGAGAACAAACACTCGACAACGGCTATCGCGTCGTATTTTGCATCCGCATCCATTTTTGCCTCCTCAGCTTCGGCGGAACTTGACGTCTCTTTGGCCCGCATGTCTCCGGTGGGCTCCGCAGCAAGGGTGGACCTGGACCCCGTTAGCAGAGCAAAGCAGCAGTACTTGGAGGTCCTGAAGAAGAACCACGAGGTCTAAGAATCACTCGAGGGGTCCCAGGCGTAACGCGTTGAGGTAGAAATGTCTGGCTCCCGTGTCACCACTGACCTCAAAGAAGGACTTTTGAAATAGAAAAGAGGTAAATCTCGCAGCAGTGTAAATCTGTACATAACAACTTTGAATATGGACGGCGCCGATCAAGGACAAGCAAAAGTAAATGCACGTTGCACTTAAGCACTCAGGAAGTGAGCATACTTATTAGCCACACTATCGAATGAGCTGCATTACACGAGCCACATCAAATAATTTGACCCATTTTTCGCCATCTCATGCCAATGATTAAGACTGTCAACAACATTTTTTAATTTGGGTTCGACCGAACTGTTCTTCATGTGTGGCTCATCAGTAGATGCCGAACAATTTACTCTTATCTTGCGTCATTAAAGGGATTTGCAGAGAAATATTCAGTCAAAGGTCACTTTTAATCAGCAACTAGTATTTGAATGTTATCGTTCTTTTTGGTTATGTTGATCATGTTGCTTGTTTCACGGTCGGTCATGGGAACGAAAAAGGTCCTAGTCTACATATTTCTCAATGAACATACAATTTTTTAAAAAAATTTTTTTTGAACAGAGGACCCCCAAGTTAAGTCTGTATTCATGTCACTAATTTTAGGGGTCGGTTTTTTTTTTTTTTTTTTTTTGGGATCACCCATGAGTTTTCTTTCTGCAGCGTTGAAAGAATGTATGGGATGTTTGTCTGTTAACCAGTCCTGTAAATGAAACTGCAAAACCCCCAACTTGCTGTAAATTTCAGGGGGTTAAGTCGCATGAGAAAGCCAATAAAATGACTTGATTTGAACTTCAAAATGTCACCGAGTTGGGAACTTTCAAAATTGCTGAAAAACCAATAGTCCGGGGCAAGGGTCCTTTGAAATTATTTGATTTTTTTGTAAATCAAGTCCTTCGTTTTCCTTAAATTGCACTTAAAATGGTGGCTTGTAAATCTTGGAAAAAGCCACATTGAACCAGCTGGCAAGAAATAAAATGTCCTTTTTATATATTTACAGTACCTAAATATTTCTCGATAAAGTTAAGCAACATTCCCTGAGTAAATGCTGCTATTTACAAATTGCAATCAAGGTAAAATTATTCCATTACGTATTTCATACAGAACAAAAAAGATGACACAAATAACCCATCAATATTTTCTCTTCAGAGCCCATATTGCCTCATTTCATTCAACCACATTTATCCATCCATTATCTGAACCGCTTTATCCTCTTGAGGGGCCGCCGAGCCGATCCCAGTTGACTTGGAACATGAGTGAGCCGGTTTAAAAGTGCAAGAAAAAAGGAAAAAAAAAAGATTTTGCAAAATTAAGTATTCCTAACACTTCTTCTTTTCAAATCTCTTCCCAATGGCATCTTTTCAGTCCTAATAGGTTGAAGCAGTTTAATGGATATAAATACTACATTTGACTATTCATGATTAGGTACACTTAGGTTGTTTGCTTAAAAAAAGAAGAAAAAAAGAAAAACCTGTTCTCCTTAAACCTGCTGATACGCCGAATACCGACACATTGTTATAAATCGCCGTCTTGGCGGAAGAAACGGCAATATTTACAGCTGACCTCCACTGACGCAATTCCGCGTAGTTTACCTTTCATGCAGTTTATAACGAGCAGTAATTGCAGGCATCTTATTCTCATGACAGGGAGGGGGTTGGGGGGGTGGAGCGTCATTCCATCAATATTTCATGCACGCACTCATGTCTTATCCGCCCCTCGTTAGTGATATTTCACTGTTTACTTTCTACTCCCTCACTGTGAGGGCATGAAAGTGGAACGTATGTGTCGGTTCAGAAACGATTCCCCTCACTTATTCGAATGACACAACGTGCTGACGAGTGCCCCCACCACGCTTGTCTTTTCCATTGGCTTTGATCCACCCCCTTCATGTGTGAGATATTCAGATGTGCTCACATTTATTTTGGTTTTCTTTACCACAGATGGGCACATCTGACAGACTGACTATTAAGTGTTATTATTTCTTTCTCCCTCCCACCCTCCCCCAATTGATGCCACTTCACACACTACATGTAAAGCTTGTTTTGATTGAGGAGGTTACAAGCATCAGATTTACATGTGGCCAAGAATACAAATAGACACATGATGAATGAAAATGTGGGGAGTTGAAAGGATTGTGTGTGTGTGTTTTTTTTTTTTTTTTTTTTTTTCCTAATGAAAAGTTATGACGGTTAAAAACAAAGCTCTCCTTGTCGGGTCATCTTTTTGTCATTGATGCTTAGTCAAAAAAAAAAAAGAAGAAGAAACAAAAGCAAAGTCTTGTCATGTGCAAATACATAAATTTATCAAACTTTTTGCTGTTGCCTTAATCCAGGGGTGGGGATTTTTTTTTCTATCAGGAGGCACACTCAAGAAAAAATGTGAATTAAAATTAAGGCTGAATGATTAAAAAAAAAGTCTCGTGATTTTTTTTCCCTCATTATTGCGATTGCAATTTAATCTGCATGTAAAATTAGTTATATATTTTTTCGAGGTCCTCTCTCTCCGTGTACTGTATTTGTTTTAACAAACACAAGCATTTGATTGATCGATCACAATAAACAATATCAAATCATCATGCAAATATTTGGCCTGGCTTGTGTAGCCTTATGCTAAAAAAACAAACAACACAAAAAAACAACAAAACAAAGACTCACTTAACGTGGAAGACACTTTCTTCATTTACTTCAGTTTGAGTTGTTAACTTACTTAACACATTGGCTTGCGGTCTTTTGTGTGCCGCAAAAGGAACCTAGATAAGAATTGTATTTTTCTTCATATTTTTTACCTTTTTCTTGTTTTGTACCAAAACTAAATTATGGTTTTTAATTATTCCTCAATTAATCGTGATTCATATTTTTGGCATGGTAAGGTTGAATCAAGGCAATCTTCTCATTTACTGACCATGTGTTTTTTTTCTTGTTTTTCAAAATTGACTTTAGCCATGACGCTATTAACTCTTTCAGGGACAGCGGTGACTACAGTGGACGGCTTATCATGTTATCAGGTTACTGGATGCATGAAAGGGTGAAGCTGGCTTCCCAACCGCCAATAGACGCTAACGCAACAAGGAAGGGCACACCGCTTTAGGTACACTCACGTTTTGTGCCTGCGTTTTCCGCCTGGGTTGGTGATGTGGATCGTGTTTTTATACAGTCCAATCCTGTTGACTACAATATTTCTTTTTCCCGTGTTGTCTGGCCTGAAAGGTGATTGCCGTGGTCGCCGAGAAGATGGTGTCAATGTAGCCAGAATAATGTACCTGCAGAGTGGAAGTTCGGAGTCCTCGGTTGTGGCTTGAGAGTAGAACAAATTGAGACGGACAAGCGGAACAAACGCGGGTGTATGTTTGTTAGCGTCCACCCGCTGCAGTCCAAATGAGACATCGCCACTCTTTCTTGTCAGCAGCAGAATAACAATTGTCTTAAACGCCATTTAAACGCACCTCCTGGCTCCCCCTCCAGACGGATTGACAATCATTTTTATTTTTTTATTGCTTGCCGTTTTATTTTTGGCTGTTTACTCTCTGCTTGTCATCCCACTTGACGTCCTTTTTAAAGAAAAACCGCCATCCGTCTTGAAGATCTTAGGCAGACTTAAAGCTTTCTTTTATGTTCTAAGACAAATACGTGAAGGGATTCAAGGGGGGGAGATGACAAACTCGGTGTCGCCCCGCTCCTCGGCTCTTCACGTGGAAGTCAATGCCGCGATATTACAACAAGACACTTTGCTCTCCGATAATGAACAAGGAGGGCCCTTCTTATGCGGGTCAGAGTCATTAAATGGCGCTTAATGTACGGAAACAATATTTCTTCCCCCCCCGCCCTCCCCTCGAAGTAGATAGTTTTGAAATTTAAAAAAAAATCAATTTGATGAGTCCCACACTGGCTGTCCAACAAAACTTCACTGACAGATAATTGGCCCTGGCGCATTTATTTTAATACTTCAAAAGCTACTCGCTGTTTTGTTTCTGTTTTGTTCCAAAACCTCAGAGGAAATAAGTAATCTTTTTTTTTTTGCCGACACTGTCATCATCATAACAAATGAGATGATAAAACGGCACCTTTACATGCTCGCTTATGTGGAGCACAATTTCAATTTGGACATGAGAAAGAGTGACTGTCCACTTGCACAAAGGTATCAACCCCAAAGTTCATCATTTCATCTCACTGCATTCTCATTCTTATTTTTTTCGCAGTTCTTTTTCAGTCCTTGTCGTCCCCTAGTTGCGGTGGCAAATCCGGCAGCACTCCATACAAAACTCCAGACACTCTGTAGACTCGCCGCAGGACTGGAAGAGGACCGAGTGGCAGTGGGCGTGGCAGGCGAGCTCCTCCACGGGCGCCTGATGCAGCGCGCCGCAGCAGCGGGTGCAGGCGCCGCAGCAGCAGGCGCAGAGGCTGAGCGAGCCCGACGCGCAGGCCTCCAGCAGCGCCAGCAGCAGCACGGAGCATTGGCAGGAGAGGCAGGCCAGCAGCAGGTGAGCGCACGAGTCTGATGGACAGAAACACTCACTTTGAGTATCTGCCCCATGCAATTGTATTCACATATTCCCAATAAACCATTCATTGTCGGTATTTTTATGTTGCCGTTAGATTTATCGTCCAATCAGATTTCGGCCGCTACGTGTTGCCGTGTTGATGTAATATGTCCAAGGCCTTCAGAATCAGTGTTGCTGGTTGATGTCACTTAAAACATATTAGCAATGGGACTGTTTCTTAAACCAATCAGATTTCCAATTCGTCCTCACGGGGCCAACTTACTGGTCCGTTATAAAATCGGCATTTTTCTGTCCTGTGATTGGTTGGTCAAGTGTGGAAAAGGGGGAGCAACCATAGGTGATGCAACAGGTATTTTTTTAAGGCTGGGAGAGTCGTTAATTCAACACAAACGCAATGAGCACACTCATGCGGGAGCTGCTGTCGACCTCAGATGGGCCTGGAATAGGCCTGAATGAATAATTTGACTACAAAATGTTATTTTATTTCAGACATGCTAGTGCTTTAGCCAGCTAACAGCTCTACACTCATTCGCCGATACGCATGTCACTCACCAGGCCAGGCTCCGCCTTTTAAAGCTGCAAAAATCACAGTTTTGACAAAATCATGTCACCGATTTTTTATTTGGACACCTGGACCCTGTTTTGAGAATTGTGAATACAGTCGACCAAAACATACTGTAAATAAGATATTTTTTGTTTGTTTTTTTCTTCCCCAATGCATTTCTGTGGCTGTCAGTTATGTACACATTTTGTGGGCCATCCCGGTCGCCTGCAAACTGTTTATCCCTCTTTTAATACGCTGATGACGACTCGACTGTGCAGCTCCTCTTCTCGAGTGAACAACCAGAGGTCATCGCGTGTTCTAAAAGCCTGTCAGACAGCATCAAATCCGCGGCGTAATTGTTCTATTAACCCTAAAAGGACTCTCCCGTGTTTTGTTTGCGGTGCCAGGGAGAACTTGAAAGCCGCACTGATCATGTGCGATTGCGTTTTCTTAATCACAAAAGCCTTGTTCAGCCCTCCAGGGAGAGTCATCAAGAAAAAGGAAAAAGGCCACAAAGCCTCGCCGGTGATGAGTTTTCAAAACAAAGAAGCTGTCGCCGCATAATTGCGCTCTACCCCAATTAGGTGCGTGTGAAATTGCCTACATTAACCCCCGTGGTACGTTCGCGTGGATCTTAACGCGATGCTACCCGTTGTTTTAGTGCTCGTTTCCCGTTTTCATCCTCACAAGGACCAGACGCGGGGCAGCTCATGCAAATGGAGTCGTTTTATCCTGTTTACTCCAGGAAGTAAATGAAAGGAAGATGGCAACATTCCCCGTGGAGAAGCGTTTTGGCCTTTTCCCACTTTAGCCACCTGAGTAGTATTCCCCCACACATCCTCACAAAATATCAATATACGGTATGCTAATAGCTACGTGTAGACGGGGAAACAAATGTCATTATGTATTTATTTATTGTATATCTTCATAGCAAGCACATGTTCACACTGATGAAAAAAAAAACCACCACATGCGTTGTTTTTTTGTTTTTTTTTTTTTTTTGCTTTTCTTTTTCCTTTGTAGCTTCTCTTGCAAAGAAAAAAAATCGTCTCTGAACAGATTTCTCAAAACTGAAGATTTGACCCCTCCCCCCCAAAAAAAATCTACTGAATGACTGATTGTTATTTCGAGAAAAAAAATGAGTAAATAAGAAGAACTAAGCCCGTCTCCCACTGTTTGGCGAGTGTTTGCGACCGCAGTAAAAGTTTTCGTTTTTAGGAAATGTTTTCCTTTTTTTTTTTGCCAACAGCTTTAACAGTCTCAAACATTTTTTTCTCGCGCCAAAGACTTTTTAAACACATTTTCTTTCCAATTGACCAATAAGATGGCAGCCGAAACCTGATTGCGCTTACCTGCAGGTGTAGCAGCGCGTGGTTTTGAGTCCGCCGCACTGTGGGAGTCGCGCGCTTGACCCGAGCTGCGCGATACAACGCCGTCGTTCGGGACCGCCGGGCCACAATGCGGGCGGGTGGCCGCGCGGGTAACACGTGGAGTGCTGTCGCGCACTGCGGAGCTCGCTTGTGGCAAGGCTGACCCTCTCTGAGGCTGCGCTGCACGACACGGACGCACGATGAAGCTTCCTCATCCAATATGTAAAACAAACCAGCAATTTTTTTTAAGTGTGTAAGAGTGTTCAATTCACATCATTGTTGACAAATTTCCACCTACTGTCAATGAGATCTGTTAACATGGTCACGGGAGGGTCTTCCGCTCTACGTTGAAATGTCGCACTCCCTGGCATACATCAAAAACAATCTCTAGTCACCTGATTAGGCACAACTCCTGCTTGGCGGTTGCATATTCTCCTCGTGCTCGCGCGCCACTTAGATTGGTTGACAGAGGACGTTGGAAGTTGCACGCATGAAGAGTATTCGCCACTTTTCATGAACATTACATTGTATTAAGTGTCAGTGACCACTTGCCTTCATGAGTGTTGTCTTTTGTTTGTTGTCCCACCAGTGGAGATTCTCCCATCCTCCTTCAAGACGACCCCGGGCTCCTCTTCATGAAGACGAAACCCCACCGGCTAAGATGTGGGCCCGACTTTCAGGAAAAAGCGTGAGTGACCTTCTGCTCTGCTCGTGTTGCGCTTCCAGCCACAGTGACTCTTCCCTCCCGTTTCCCGGCACTGCGCTCCAAACAAGCAGCTCAAACATGGCGGAATGCCTTCACACGATGGAGCCACATGCCCCGCATGGATGTGAGCTTATTTCCTTAACGTCACAGCCTCTGGCTCGCTTAGCATGAGTCAGCCGTCCTTTTTCTTGGCTTGTTGTGGGGCTGCGGGTGGGCCGGGTCCTATCCTGGCTTTGGCGGTGGGAGGCACTGTGCACCCTGGACTGGTCACCAGCCAATCGCAGGACACATATAGACAAGACAAGCAACCGCTCACGTTCGCATTGACAATTTTAGATGCTTTCATTTCTATTATTCCATGATGGGATCGAAACTCAGATCTTTGGAAGGCAGATGGGCTGCCTACACATTTGTTTATATATATATATA